TAAGAATTAGCATTAAGTTCATTTTAAAACAAGTACAAATATTAAATTTACTGTGGATATAAGTAAAGATATATAAGTTTATTAAAATTAGCATAAGAAAAAATAGAAGATATATAGAATACAGAGAAAGTCACTTTTGAGAACAAATGCATCGTTAGGATAGTCGAATTACAAGAGACTCTAGTTAAATTATTTTTTTTCAGAGATGATGAATATTTACAAAATATATAAAAATAAACTGTAGCTATAAAGAAATTAAAAGATTTTTTAATTATTATTAGCTAAATACAATTTTAACTTGTACGTGCGTACACCTTTTTTCTACAAAGTATTCCAATTATGGCGATAAATAATCTTAAAGGATTTAAATTGATCAATAAATTTTTTATCAACGCAATAATTTCAAATTTAAATTTTAACTTCCAGAATTGAGTTCAACATAAGTTTTATCTATATCGAGAATTTATGACAAACACATACTATTTTAACGATATTTACTTTATGTAAAATTATCTCAAAATTTTACAATAAATTTTAAGAATTACCAACATTATGATTAAAATATTTAATACATGAGTTGAATACGTTTGTGTTAAAAAGTGAAAAAATTGTTCAATTAAGAGCTTGTGCACGGATGAGTTGCTATCGAAAAAAAATTCCATTCTCAGAATAAATACCTAAATGACAGCAATTAATGTATTAAAGTTATCACCTTCAATATTGAACAAAATTACGCTGAGACTATAAGTCACTTACGATGGCCACGTGAAGACCGATAATTGATTTCGAAACGCGATGTGACATATTAGCGATGTCCGTCGTCGTGTGAATGCTGAACGGATCTCTGCTTTCTGTTTAATCCACAGCTATCATCAAGATATAATCACGAGACTTTCTGTACGAGAAAAAAACTAAATAATTTCGCAATTCTGAATAATTTTATAAAATAATACTTTATCATTTAATACTTGTATTGCATGAAAAAGAAGCACTTATAGAGAAGCACACTTATAGAGTCATCAGACTAATTCATTGTTAGGTCTAGAAGATGGTTAATTAGAAGAGCAATAAGCTGTGCACTTAATCAATCTGCACTTAACACTTAAAAAATATTTATTTAATATTTTTATATTAAATAAATATTTAAAAACCGTTTTAAAAACATTGTTTGTTTGATTGGGAAAGAACTGCTCAACTTATTCATCAATCCATCATTAATGCGATGACGCAATGCAAAGTAAATATACCGATAGACTTTAACAATAAATAATTCAGCAAAACAAAATAATTTATGCAAAATGGCACATTACGTCAAACCAGATGCCAAAGATGACGAACAACGAATTTTATAAAGAAACTTACTCGAAGCAGTCATTTGCATAATTGCGAGAACAGAGAATTCTCTATCAACTTACAAAGCATCAAATATTGACAGGGCATATGTATTTTTTTGATTGAAGTATCGTGAAATAACCTGCTGAAAACTGAAACACAAAAACATTTTGCACGTAATTGACAGAGAGCGATAAATTATTAAAAAATTTCTTTGATACCATACATAAGATACACAATTATAGATTTACGTTTACAAAACTGTAAAGAGAAATATAAAGTTTACAAAATTTGTTCTCCCGTTGTCGCTTCACTTCTCTTTTTCTTTCTCGATACGATAACAATGACAGTGATGAATTATGAAGATTAAAAACGCCGTGCGAGTATATAATGTTCGACTGGAAGACTGCAAAAAAATATAAGAGGAAAATTGCAGGTGGACTTGCAAAGTGGAGCGAACAATACTAGACAGGAGGAGAAAATAGCATGGGGTTGCATTGTTCGACCACATTTAATAAACACTGCGTATCCCGACATTATCGATCTACTGCCTGACTGTTCGAGCTTATTCTAACTCCCATATGAAATATACATACGTGCAAGTGAACGATACATGCATGTAAGTGTACGCCATGGAAGAAAATGTAACAGGTAACAAGTAATAATAGAACGTCACTTTTGTCACTTATAATTTATGTGCAAATTTTATTGTTACTAATCAAACTACCGGTTGTTAAAAGTAATTAAAAAAATTTTTTAATAGAATGTAGTTTTGCCTCTCTCAATACATTGCAAGGAGGACCGATATATAAGAAGCTGAAGCTTTTAAAATCTGTAAGAGTATTATTATAATTACTATAAAATATTAATGTAAAAAATATAAATATTTAAATTCTACTTGTTACTTCATTTCTTTTAATAATGTATTACAATATAAATATTGCAGCATTTAAAACAGATTTTATCATTATTTAAAACAGATTTTTTTAGGATAATTTTTAGCATAAAATCTGTGCTAAAAAATTTTATATATAAAGCAAGATAACTTGCTGAGATAAACTTACAGTACTATATTGTTCCAAAGACAAATTCATTATCTTTCCTATTGTAATGGTTAATTGATTTTGCGACCTCATTATCAAGGACAATATAATTCGACTGTCTCTAGAATCTGATTCATACCAGTGGGAAGCGTATGCAGCATCTCCGATACTTTTGTTCTATTAAATAATGTATCTTGTAGCTTTTATATACAAAATCAATTACGTAATATTCTGTTATTTGTCGTGAACAATATATTAGTCTCAATATCTAACCTTAGCACTTAAATATTCTCCAGCGAAACAATATACAAACGCTTCCACATTTATAACAACATAAAATAAGAAGTTTTTGGTTATACTTTTCGCAGCATCGGGTTGACCGATCGACTAAAACATTAAGAAACATTCTAAGAGCAATGGAAAAGTGGAAAAGTAATAAATAATTAAGAATACGAATTAGTACTTTTCTAAATTTAATAGTTTTTATATCCTCTGTTTATCATGAAATTATCAAAATTGCTTACCGCAATCATGGTAAAACCTAAGCAGCAAATAATCAGAGTATCTGATACAAACAGCACCATCGCAATATACGTGTACAGATCTTCGATGTGCTCTAAAAATGTTATGATTTTCTGATGCTTCTTGATTATCTTCTTTACCGTAAAATGACCCGGATTACACTTTCCATTCTTCGGAAAAACTTCTTTTAATCCCTCTCGAAGAATATCGATTTGTCCGCCTATATGCAATATCTAAAATATATATTCTTCTCAACAGTTACTTAATAGAAACCGTAATAATAATATTTTGATGCTTGAATTCAATTTAGGCTACACAAAATCTTAAAATCTTCAAAGTTTAAGAAGCAGCATTAGTCGAAATTATCTATTAATTATTTTTATATTATGTAGACAATAAATACATATATGTACAGGTTGCTACCGATACCTACAGAGTAAGTCTGGTTGCCTATCTGCCAATGGGCAGAGAAACGCGTTACTGATAATGAGGAATAAGATTAGATCACAAGTCCGGCGGAGAATAAGACAAGAGAAATTGAATTTTACATTCTGGTATAGTGTAAAATTCAATAATATGATATAAAATATGTATTTAATAATATAAATAATATCTGACTTAATCTAGTATAAATTAAATTTAATAAATTTCTTTCTCACCGAACTTGCGATCTAATCTTATTCCGCATTAACAGTAAAACCCCCTGTCCACAGGCAGATAGGCAACCCGATTATCTGTAGATAATCTGTAGATTGATCTGTAGATATCGGCAGCACCCTATACAGTGGATCATAGAAAAGTTGTAACATTTTTTTTGGATTTCGGAACTCAATCTTGTTTGTAGAGTGTTTTAACCCAAATGATTAGACAAATAATAAAAAACCAATCTCTCCAGTAAGAGCAGACTGTATTTAGAAATCAATCGAAAAAAAGTATGCATTGTTTCTGTGATCCACTGTATATTCCAATTGACATCAATTGAATGGTTAATAAAATTTCAAGAAATTGATTTCTACGGACAGCGATAATATATCTTTTACGTCCTGCAAAACTTACCAGATTTATCAGTAGAGCATTTATTAAACAGTTTGCGTCTGCACAAAATAGCAAATTAACAAATTGAATAATTATAACTGATTCATATACAAATCTTTGATTAGCGTCAAATGGTAGATCCATCTCTAGAATGAGCAACCGTGTGGACATGTTGGAAGCGTTGCTGTCATCCACGTGCTTTACAAAAATCTTGCTACTAAAAAAAATTATAGTTGTCGAATAAAGAATTACCGTCAGGTTAGCGAACCGTTGCGACAGTTTGGCATTGCATGTCGTGAACATACTGAATTTCGTGCCAGAATATTTTTCCAAGTCAACCGACATCATTATTAATATCCTGTTGAAAGTTCTAAAAATGATTTTTATTGATCGTGACAACGGCCGCAATGAAGCGTTATGTAAACCATCGATGAAAAATTTATCGTTATACAATGACTTCATCGATGCGTGTTTGCTTTTATTTCTCTTTTACATATATAAAATAATTAATTTATTATAGCAACTTATTTTAAATTTTGCTTTATTATATTCTTCAAGTTTGCAATTGCTAAATAGCTCATTTTATTTGTCAGAGTAATTATTAAATACAGTTAGATCACTAACTTAATGTGTCTGAATAATGTATAATTAAATATAATTAAAATAAATAATATTTAAAACAAATTTTTCACTGATAGGCATATTACTATGAACTTCACTGCTGCGTATCTCACCGCTGTTTACACCATAAAATGACAAGTTTAATTAATAATATCGTATATGTCATTGCTGAACCCAAAATATGCATTAACTCGGAAAACTCAATCAAATGGAAACGCATTAGGATATATCGATATTGAAAAATTTGTTCGATTATGATCGAGACAGTCCAAAATAATCTACACAAAGAAACACACGACATATTCGGCCAAATGCCAAAAATTCGAAACCAAATTTCTATCACTTTGCTAACAGTATTCTTTATTTTCATATTTTTTATATTATTATTTTCCTATTATTTTACACTGTTTACACGTATTGATTCCGCGGACGGAATTTTTAACGGTGTTATAAATAACATTTAATTAAATATTTGATGTGTATGATGTAGTGTCTCTGTACATACTGAGAGCTTAGAAGAAAGCATAAGTGATAGCACCCTCCTATAAAGCAAAGCTTATTAAATATTTTGATCGCAACTTGCATAAACTGTGCAGCATTGTCGATAAGAAAAAAAGAAGTTTTCGGGTAGTTGACCTTATCTTTCTTAAATTCTCGGGCGAAACAGCGAAGTATAGCGCAGTATATTATTTTCTTTAAAAATTCAAGCAACAGACAGAATAGACAACAACATGCAAATATACAAAGGACAATAAACTTCGGTGACTATAAGAAAAGTTTTGTGTTTCCGTAAATGGGGGAGAATTTTTTAAAGAAAAAAGAAATGTGTAGAGAGGCGTTTTCCTTTCGAAGATTTTATTTCCTTGATATCAAAAGATATTTTTCCTCGCAAATTATAGTAAGTGCGACTGCAATCGCAACTTGTTCTCCTGAAATATGTAAATCGAACGATTTTGAATGAAACTCTTGTGAATATCAGATACATGTTGCACGGAATAATCATGAAAAAGTAAACTAGAAGCAGAAGATTGAAATGCTGAGTAAAGTTTTATGTTCTAGTAGCAATGACGTGGCGGCGTTCCTGGTAAATGATAAGCAAAGCTTATGAGTTGTAAAAAACATTGTAACATGCAAAAAGGTCACATTAATTTTTCAGAAAAGACTGTTTAGACATTATAATTTCACTTAAACGTTACAAAAATTTTAAGCAATATTTGATTATACGAAAAAGAGGTGGAAAAAGAAATAATTTTATTTGATTATATTAGAAATAATTGCCATATTATTCAAAGTATTATACAAAAATAACAATAATTATAATTTGTTTAATACTGTTACTAGAGATTTTTTTTTTATTTTTTATAATTTTATATACTTTAGTTTAATATTTTAGTTTAATATTTAGTGCTAGATTAGAAAATAATCGTTTTCTTATGCGATAACCTAAGATTGATTCACCGTTGACAGGTCTAGATGATATAATCAATTTGAAGAAATGGACTGTACCTTAAAAAGTTACTTAAATTATTAATCAAATCCACAGTTTATTGATGCGATTGTGCAATACAAAGTAAGCATAATGACAATTTTGAATTACAATTAATGTGACAAACCGGGACCATACATGCAAAGTAATACATAGGTACACGACACGTCTTGATATCAAAGAAGACCAATTCTATTGACAAACTCACTGTACTCATAATGGACATTTTATAATTGAAAAAAGCTTATTTATCACATTCTCTTCCCCAAAATAAATGTTTGCAGGCTCTATATGTTTGATCAAGAAGAATCTTGTGAAGCAATCTCGTGAAGCTTATTAAAAGTTATAACGCTAAAGCGCATTACATGCAATTGATTGAGAGGAATTTATCATTAAATATACTTTTGATACCAAACATAAATACTCAATTAAAGCTACGATTACGGTATTGTAAAAAGGAACAGAAAGTATAGAGAATTTTTCCCCTTTTGTTTGTTTTCTCTCTCCCTTTTGTTCATTTCTCTATTTTATTTATGACAGGATATCAAGATAGCACCAAATTATGAAACTTAAAAATGCAAACCGCCATGCGAACAGCAAGTACACACAATATATTCGAATGGAGTACCGTTGGAAAATAAAAATAAAATTTAATTTTCAAAAATAACAAAGTGCGAACAATATTAGTTGCGGGAGGGGAAAGCAACACGTGATTATATTGTTAGACATTATTTAATAAACATTGCGTATCTTGGGTTATTAATCCATTACCTGACATTCTCGAATGTATAATTCTCTCGATTAATGCATACAAGTGTGCAATAAATGAAAGAAAATGGTAAGTAATTCTGCAATGGTTTTTGTTACTATTAATGTACCTGTACATTTTTTTGTAACTAAATAACTATTAACAACAACTGTTAACAATCAATGTAAATAGAATGTAATTTCGCTTCAATACATTGCAAGTAGGACGGATATATAGGAGACGGAAGCTTTTATAATCTGTAAGAATAATATTTGATTATTATAAAATGTAAATATATGTAGAAATTTAATATTTAAATTCAATGTTTGTGTAAACAAAATGTTTTGTTTAGTATTTGAGAGAGAGAGAGAGAGAGAGAGAGAGAGAGATTAGTCGAGTCTAGAGGTGAATTGTAACACATGCAAATATTTTAATAATCAAAAGGTATATATCTATGCTTGCACAGACAGGGCAGAAACAAAGACTACACTAATTTGTACTCAGCTGCCAAACACACGTATGTTTTTCGTATAACACAAATGAAGTTAGGTAACTGTTATTTTTAGTCTACGTGATAATTGAAATAATTGATAAGCATCATATGATTATTAAAATAAGTCAACGATATATTACATAATTTTAATGTTCAAATTACTACCTTTACAGTTTTTAGTCATAAAATATATTTCATTGTGGAAAATAAATATTCCGTATTTAGTGGAGATCTTAAGGAGTACCCTTACCAAGCGATACGACACAATATTCCAGTTTTCAAATTTCTTTTAGTCTGGTCCATAATTGCATTACAATCATGACAAGAGATCTTATATACTACTTCTTGATGCGATATATAATCTAAAACATCTTTACCACGAGTGATGTACTTTTGTAAGGTAAAAGGTTAGGGATGGTAAAGGTTGTTCTTCTATTAATGCCATATGCGATCGGAATAAAAGATTCGGAGATGGTTCTGTATAAGGTATTGTAAAATACCAATCATCAGATGTAATTTCTTTGTTGTCCCGTGTGGCAAAGTTGACATATATGGGCCAGATTAAAAGAAAATTGAAAACTAGAATAAACATGCAAATAAAATTAATAAAAGGACTAATTTCCAATCACCGCTTAAAATATGATCATAATTTTAAATGAGATAAGGCTAAGATATTAGATAATAAACCATCTTATAGTAAAACATTGATTTCAGAGATGGTTCACATAAAAAAACAACATAATGGATTGAATAGGCAGAGTGACACGGAATCTCTGATTCGTACCCGATCTTACAATCATTATCCCCTTCCTAATTGGTCTCCTTTCTTTCTTTCCACATACGTTTCTTCTTCTACTACATTTCTTTTAATATAATACTTTTGCTTTTATTCTGTAATCATTGGTTGTTGAATATTTTAAAAGTAACGTTCTTAACATGATTTATTCTATATTAATATTGTTGTGGATTGTAAACTTTTTGCAATTTATAATTACTGGACACTTAAAGGTACAAATAAGTTATAGTTGAGATGAATTCAAATTATACAATTGCTTAGTCAACAATTAATTCAATATAGATACGGAATCACAAAATTGCAATGAGAGAACTATCCTTTGTCTTTTAATCATAAAATTGCATTACTGTTTATACTAATTGAAGTATAGAGAAGAATATAGAACATCAGAGACATGGATGTGAAATATTCTAAGAAGAACGATTAAATTTTCGTAACAGAACATAAAATTTGAAGAGGAATACATTACTAAACTGCTATATTTATATCGACAATCAAATTACAAAGTTTGTGTTCTTTAAAGATTGTACACTGAAGATGACTCATTAAAATGTACGTTATTATGTACTTATATTTTATGATTATTCTTATGTACTTTTAGTTATTAAATTTTAAGTTGATTTCTAACAATTATCATCTAGCTGTGATCCGTAGCCTTTAATTCTAATAAATATAAGAAGAAAATTGTAGGAACTTGCAAAGTGGAGCGAACAATACCAGGCAGGAGAAAATAGCACGGGGTTGCATTGTTCGACCACATTTAATAAACACTGCGGATCCTGACATTATGGATCTACTGCCTGCCTGCCCAAGCTTATTCTAACTTCTGTATAAAACACACACATGCGTGCAAATGAATGATGCATACATGCATGTAAATGTATGACATGGAAGAAAATGTAACAGGTAACAAGTAATAATAGAACTTCATTTTTGTCACTTTTAATTTATGTTACTACTAATTTTGTTATTACTAATCAAACTACCAGTTGTTAAAAGTAATTAAAAAAATTTTTTTTAATAGAATGTAGTTTTGCCTCTCTCAATCCATTGCAAGAAGAACTGATATATAAGAAGCTGAAGCTTTTACAATCTGTAAGAATATTATTATAATTATTATAAAATATTAATGTAAAAAGTGTAAATATTTAAATTCTACTTGTTACTTCATTTCTTTTAATATTATATTACAATATAAATATTGCAGCAAATTTTGTTTGTTATTTAAAACAGATTTTTTAAAAATAATTTCTAGCATAAAATCTGTGCTGAAAAGTTTTATATATAAAGCAAGATAACTTGCTGAGATAAACTTACAGTACTATATTGTTCCAAAGACAAATTCATTATCTTTCCTATTGTAATGGTTAATTGATTTTGCGACCTCATTATCAAGGACAATATAGTTCGACTGTCTCTAGAATCTGACTCGTACCAGAGGGAAGCGTACGCAGCATCTCCGATACTTTTGCTCTATTAAATAATGGTTCTTGTAGCTTTTATATATAAAATCAATTACGTAATATTCTGCTATTTGTCGTGAACAATATATTGATCCGAATATCTAACCTTAGCGCTCAAATATTCTCCAGCGAAACAATATACAAACGCTTCCACATTTATAACGACATAAAATAAGAAATTTCTGATTATACTTTTCGTAGCATTGGGTTGACCGATCGACTGGAATATTAAGAAACGTCCGAAAAGCAATGGAAAGGTGGGAAAGTAATAAATAATTAAAGATATGAAAGTGCTCTCCTAATCTACATAAATTCAACAGTGGTTTTATGTCCTTTGTTTATCATGAAATTAATCAAAATTGCTTACCGCAACAATTGTAAAACCTAAGCAGCAGATAATCAGAGTATCTGATACGAATAGCACCATCGCAATATACGTGTACAGATCTTCGATGTGCTCTGAAAATGTGATGATTTTCTGATGCTTCTTGATTATCTTCTTTATCGTGAAATGACTCAGGTTACACTTTCCATTCTTCGGAAAAACTTCCTTTAATCCCTCTCGAAGAATATCGATTTGTCCGCCTATATGCAATATCTAAAATGTATAATTCTTCTCAACAGTCACTTAATGGCAATTATAAAAAAATTATTTTAATGCTTGAATTCAATTTAAAATACACAAAATCTTAAAATCTTCAAAATTTAAGAAGCAACATAAGTCGAAATTATCTATTAACTATTTTTAATCATGTAGACAATAAATACATATATGTACAGTGGGTCATAGAAAAGTTGCAACATTTTTTTTCAATAGGTTTTAGAACTCAGTCTTGTATAGCGTTTGAGCGTAAATGATTAGACACGTAAAAAAGAACCAATCTCTTCGGTGAGAGACTGTATTTAGAAATCAATCGAAAAAAAGCATCCTTTCTGTGATTTATTGTATATTCCAATTGACATCAAATTGATTGGTTAATAAAATTTTAAGAAATTAACTTTGACGGACAATGATAATATGTCTTTTACATTCTGCGAAACTTACCAGATTTATGAGTAGAGCATTTATTAAACAGTTTGCGTCGGCACACAATAGCAAATTAACAAATTGAATAATTACGACTGATTCATATACGAATCTTTGATTAGCGTCAAATGGTAGATCCATCTCTAGAATGAGCAACCGTGTGGACATGTTGGAAGCGTTGCTGTCATCCACGTGCTTTACGAAAATCTTGCTACTAAAAAAAATTACAGCTGTCGAATAAAGAATTACTGTGATGTTAGCGAAACGTTGCGACAGTTGGGCATTGCATGTCGCGAACATACTGAATTTTGTGCCAGAATATTTTTCCCAGTCGATCATCATCATTGTTAATATCCTGTTGAAAGTTCTAGAAATAATTTTTATTGGTCATAATCGTGACAACGGTCGCAATGAATGTCGTTACGCGAACCATCGATGAAAAATTTATTGTTGTACAATAACTTCGTTGATGTTTTTATTTTCTTTTTGTATATAGTAATTAATTTATTACAGTAATTTATTTTAAATTTTGCTTTATTATATTCTTCAAGTTTGCAATTGCTAAATAGCTCATTTTATTTGTCAGAGTAATTATTAAATACAGTTAGATCACTAACTTAATGTGTCTGAATAATGTATAATTAAATATAATTAAAATAAATAATATTTAAAACAAATTTTTCACTGATAGTGCATATTACTATGAACTTCACTGCTGCTATCTCACCGCTGTTTACACCAAAAAATGAGAAGTTTAATTAAAAATATTGTATACGTCATTGTTGAACCCAAAATATGCATTATCTCGGAAAACTCAATCAAATGGAAACGCATTAGGATATATCGGTATTGAAAAATTTGCTCGATTATGATCGAGACAGTCCAGAATAGTCTACACAAAGAAACACATGACATATTCGGCCAAATGCCAAAAATTCGAAGCAAAATTTCTATCACTTTGCTAACAGTATTCTTTATTTTCATATTTTTGATATTATTATTTTCCTATTTTACACTGTTCACATGTATTGATTCCGACAAGGGAATTTTTAACGGGGTTGTGAATGACATCTAATTAATTATTTGATGTGTATGATGTAGTATCTCTATACATACTGAGAGCTTAGAAGAATACGTGATAGCACCCTCCTATAAAACAAAGCTTATTAAATATTTTGATCGCAACTTGTACAGATTGTGTGCAGTATTGTCGATAAAAAAAAAAAGTTTACGGGTAGTCGACCTTATCTGTCAAATTCTCGGACGGAATAGTAAAGTATGGCGCAATGCGTTATTTTCTTTAAAAATTCAAGCAACAGACAGGATAGATAACAACATAGCAAACGTACAAAGGACATTAAACCTCGGTGACTATAAGAAAAGTTTTGTGTTTCCGCAAATGAAGGAGAATTTTTTGAAGAAAAAAGAAGCATAAGAGAGAAGCGTTTCTTTTTCGAAGATTTTATTTCCTTGATATTGAAAGATATTTTTCCTCGCAAATTATGAGGAGCGCGATTGCGTTCGCAACTTGTTCTCCTAAAATATGTAAATCGCACGATTTTGGATGAAACTCTTGTGCATATCAAATACATGTTGCACGCAATAATAATGAAAAAGTAAACTAGAAGCAGAAGAGGGAGATCGAAATGCTGAATGAAGTTTTATATTCTAGTAACAATGGCGCCGCGTTCCTGACAAATAATAAGCAAAGCTTATAAGTTGTAAAAAACATTGTAAAATGCAAAAAGCTCACGTTAATTTTTTAGAAAAGTTTGTTTAGGCATTATAATTTTACGTGAAAATTTTACGTATAAAAATTTTAAGTAATATTTGATTATAAGAAAAAAAAGTGGTGAAAGAAATAATTTTATTTGATTATGTTAGAAATAATTGCAATATTATATTCAAAGTATATATATATATCTCATACAGAAATAACAATAATTATATAATTTCTTTAATACACTGTTATAAAGATTTTTTATTTTTTATGTTTTATGATTTTATATATTTAATTTAATATTTAGTACTAGGTATAGAAAATAGTCGTTTACTGTGCAATAAGGTTGATTTACTGTTGATAGATCTAGAAGATATAATAAATTTGGAGAAATAGGCTGTACGTGTATGACTGTCAAACACACATATGTTTTTCGTATAACACAAATGAAATTATTAGGTAAGTTGTTTTTAGTCTACGTGATGATTGAAATAATTAATAAGCATCAGATATGTTTTTTAAAATAAGTCAATAGTATATTAATAATAATTTTAACGTTTAAATTATTATCTTATTTACAGTTTTTTAGTCATAAAAAATATTTTATTGTGAAAAATTAATATTTTATATTTAGTGGGGACCTTGAGGAGTACTCTCACCAAGCGATACGACAAAACAGCTGTTGAGTGGAAAACAGTGGGCAATCGTGTAAGTGTTGAAAACTGCGTTGCATTTCACTTGCTCATCTATGTCACCTTATTCAGGATTTCTCCAACTTAGAAATAACTAAAAGTCACATGGGGCTATACTCGAAATGTTGGGGAGACTATATTTCGGCTATACCAAAAGTTGGCCAAGTTGGATCATGTTTAAGTCCTGAATCAGGTGAGATGGAAACTTGCTAGCGAAATTTGTCCCCTTTTAGGGGGATGCAATTGAAGTAATGAATGATCATAAAGGAATTAATGCTTTTCTGATCTACAACAACACAAATTCAACAATGGTTTCTATAACTTCTGTTTATCATAAAATTAATCAAAGCTGCTTATCGCAACAATAGTGAAACCTAAGCAGCAGGTAATTAGAACATCTGTTACAAATAGCATTATTGCAACATACGTACAAATCTTTGATGTGCTCTGAAAATGTGATGATTTTCTGGTGTTTCTTGGTTAGTTCTTTTACCATAATGATTTAGATTACACTTTTCTTTCTTCGGAAAAAGTTGTTTTAAATCCTCTCAAAGAATATCGATTTGTCCACCTATATGCAATGTCTAAAATATACATTTTTCTCAACAGTTACTTCTTGGAAACCGTGAAAAAAATATTTTAATGCTTAAATTCAATTTACACAAAATCTTAAAAACTTCAAAATTTAAGAAGCAATATAAATCAAAATTGTCTATTAACTATTTTTTATCATATAGACAATAAACACATGTATGTACAGTAGCTCACAGAAAGGTTGCAACACTTTCTTTCGATGGGATTCGGAATTTAGTCTTGCTTGTAGAGCGATTGAATATGATTATATTTATAAATACGAACCAATCTCTTCGATGAGCAGATTGCATTTAGAAAAAAAAGTATTCTTTCTGTGAACCATTGTACATTCCATCAATTAACATTAATTGATTGGTTAATAAAAATTCAAGAAACTTTTAGATTAATAATTATAATAATATTGTTTGCGTCTCGCAAGACTTACCAGATTTTTTTATGAATATAAAGATTTTAATAAACCGTTTCTATCGGCACACAAATTAACAAATTGATTATAATTGATTCATATACGAATCTTGCTTAGCATTAAACAACAGATCCATCTTAAGAATGAACAATCGTGTAGAAACATTGGAAGCTTTGATGTCATCCACGTGTTTTAGGAAAACCCTGCTACTAAAAAAAATTACAGTTGCCAAATAAAGAATCACTATTATGTTGGCGAAACGCTCCGTTAGTTTAACACTGCATGTCGTAAACGTACTAAATTTTGTGTTAGAATATTTTTTCTAGTTAATTGCTATTATTGTTAATATCTTGTTGAAAGTTCTACAAATTTTTATTGATATAACCGTTATAACGAGTTATACGAATCATCATTAAAAAATTTATTGTTGTTCAGTGCAGTGACTATATCAATGCGTATCTGTTTTTCCTTTTTACGTGCAGTAATTAATTTATTATTACAGTCATTTATTTCAAATTTTTCTTTATTACATTGTTCATATTTGCAATTGTTAAATAATTCATTTTACTTGTCACAGTAATTGTTAAATTTGACATCACTAACTTAATGTGACTGAATAGTGTAGTTAAATATAATTAAATTAAATAATATTTAGAACAAATTTTTCACTGACAGTGCATATTATTATGAGCTATGCATATCTCAGCGCTGTTTATACCAAAAAATGACAAGTTTGATTAAAAATCTCATGTACGGCATTATTGTACCCAAAACAATTATTATCTCAAACAATTCCATCAAACAAAAATGTTTTATGACATATCGATATTGAACAACTTGTTCGAATATGAGCGATACAATCCAAAATAATATACACTACAAAATACATATTTGGCCAAATGTCAAAAATTCGAAAACAAATTTCTATTATTTAGCTGACAGTATTCTATATTTTCACATTTCTAATATTATTATTCTATTATTCTATTATTTTGCACTGTTTATACATATATAGTTTTTAATGAGAGAATTTTTAACGGTGTTATAAATAACATTTAATTAATTATACGACGTGTATGATATAGTGTACAAACTAAGAACTCGGAAGATATCGCGAGTGAGACCCTCCTATGAGGCATGGCTTATCAAATATTTTAATCGCTACATGCACAGATTGCGTGCAGTATTGTCGATAAGAAAAAAAAGTTTCCGGGTAATTAATCCTCTCCCTTTCAAATCTTCGGGAGGAATAGTGGAGTTATGCGTTATTTTCTTTAAAAAATCATGCAGCAGCAGACGAGGCAGACAGCAACATGTAAACATACACCGGACATTAAACCTCAGTGACCACAATAAAAGTTTTATTATTAAGTTGTATTTCTATGAATAGAGAAGTATTTTTTGAAGAAGAGAAGAAATGGAAGCGAAAGGAACGTTTTTTTCCAAGATTTTATTTCCCCAGTATTTATTCTTGCGGAATATGGTAAGTGCGAATGCGTTTGCAACTTATTCTCTTGAAATATGTAAACCGCACAATTTTGGATAAAACTCTTGTGCATATTACGTACATGTTACGTACAATAATCATGAAGAAGTAAGCTAGAAGCAGAAGACGAAGAACGAAATACTGAGCAAAGTTTTAGTAGCAACAATTTCTCGCAAACGACAAGCATAATACTTATGCTAAGCTGTAAAAACATTGGAAAATGCAAAAAGCTTATTTTAATCTTTCAGTAAAGTAGTCTATTTAGACATTATAATATTACTTGAGAATGTTACGAAAATTTAAAATAATATAAGAAGAAATGGAAGAAAAAAATTTCATTGTATTAGAAATAATTGCAATATTATTTAAAATACTACACAAAAATAATAATAATAATTTTCTTGATACTGTTACTATTGAGATTTTTTTATTATTCATTTTATGATTTTATACTATTATTTTATGCTCCTCCTCAACACTATTATGGTACTGTCATAACATTATGTCGATACTCAATTTTTTCAAATATTTAGTTCATCGCTAATAGGACGGAAATATATGATGCCGATATCTTCACAATCTATAATATTATTGATTGTAACGTATTAAGTATTTATATGTATTTTATGTGTATAAATGCATGATATTATAAATATTAATAATAAATTAGTTACACAAAATTAACTTTAAAAACTGTATTGTATTTTTTTTCAATCTTTAATAATTACGTAAAAAATATATTTAGTTTAATGTTAATGTTTTAGTATTAAGAAAGTTTTTTTAATATATTTTATGTAAGCCTGTTGAATCTGTTAAATATCTCTAAAATTTATATCGTAGAAATCTTACACTAGCAAATCGTTCTAAAGAGAGATCCATAATTTTTCCAATTGTAATGGTCAATCGTTTTTGTGATTTTAAGATCATGAACAATATTATTCGTTTTTTTTCGATTGTAATATCGTACCAAAGAGAATTGTAAGCCGCATCTCCAATCAGTTTGCTCTAGAAAGGAAAAATTAATTTTGGATTTTTGTATGTTAATTAAAATCAATTAACAGAGAGCTTACAGCGCTAACCTTGGCATTCAAATATTCACCGGCGAAACAATATATAAATGCCTCGAGATTCATCATAATGTAATAAAGTACTGACCTCACCAAAATTGCTGCTCCGCCAGGTGTACCAATTGACTGTAATCTCGAATGTAGTAATTTAAAAACATTCTGTTTTGTTTTATGATACCGAATAATATATACGCGTAAAATTAAAAATAATTTGATATATACGCAATTATTTTAAATAATCTATATTTTGATAAAATTTGTGATCTATAAAGTGATTTTTCTAACGTTACTCACGGTGATAATAATAAATCTTAGACAGCATATAATGATAATGTCCGACACAACAGCATTAGCGCTATGTATGTACAAAGGTTTTCAATGTTCTCCGAAAATATAATTATCTGTTGATGCTTTGTTATCAATGTTTTTATTGTTATCCCGTTTATAGTATTCATCGTACTTTTGGAAAAAATTTTCAGTAACCAATCGTAAAGGATATCAATTTGACCACCGATGTGTAGTATCTAAAATATTGTCTTATGATAGGAACCACGATCACTACATAATTCTACTTCATTAAATCTGTGGCGCCACGAACTTACTAAAGTGATGATGAGTGAATTTATTGTGGAAATTCCACAGCCGCACGTCATTATATGAAAAAATTCGAGGATCGTAACAAACACGTAAATAGGAAACGTATCAATCTGGAATGGCAGCTTCAACTTCAAGATGTGTTCCCGCGCGGACATGTTCATTCTTTGAACATTACCGATGTTAGCAGCAAGCACGCCGCAGCTGTACAAAGTTACGGCAACCAGTTGAAGACCGATAATCCAATTTGAGATGCGGTGCGAGAGTTTGGCTTTGTTGATCGTGATGCGCAGACTGCAATCAGTTAAAACGCAGTTCTTCCAATCCATGGCCATCATTTGCAATATATCAGAGAATATTCTAAAAAGAATTAGATATGTCAGTTAATATCATTATTTACATTTTTCAGGTAAGTAAATATTACTAACAAATTAAACAATTAAGTAAACTAAATTAAGTTATATGGAAATAATATTATCTACACGTATGTGCCAAGTTGTATCATTTGCACAACACAATAGATTTTATACATAATCTTGTATCTTTCTAATCATTCATATAATTCATTATTTAAATATTCATTATTTAAACATTTTACAAGCTATAATACGAAAAGATAAAGAATTAAATTTATAGTATTTATCTTACTGTTGATTTGCCCACAAAATAGCGAGTCTGATGAATAATAAACTGTATGTCATGGCACTGCTTACACCATCCATAAAATCGGAGAAGCTATCAGTGTAAAAATGTATCGCTACATAATGATATTGAAAGAATTGAACTGCGCCATACATCACAATCCAAAATAATCGAAATAAAACGGTTGATGATAGATATGGCCAGATACCGTAGGCGTGAAGACAGATTTTTACAGGGCGACTGATTGTACTCATCTCCATGTTTTCAACGAAACGGACCGAGAATCACTGAAGGTACGTGTGCCACCAGACATTTTTGCTCGCAGAAAAATCTGGGGAGGCGGAGCTTTCAAGAAAACCGTAGCTTTTGTATCGCTAAACGTCGACCAATCGGACAATTGATAAATATTCTATCACAAACTTTGACGGACCACGTCCGACGATTTCATCGATGATCACAGCTTGGTACGTAAAAAAAGTTAGAGGTACCACTTCTCCCTCGACTCAAGTCGAGTTTCTGACCACAGACAATACTACCGCGTGTCTTCTTTAAAAATGCAACAACCTTGGGAGTGCAGCTTCCATGACCCACCACACGATGCGAAGTTGAAAAGTTTCGCTGTTGGGGGTGTGTAAACGGAGAAAGACATAAACATATCGCCAGGGATTTCTCCGGAACGTTTTTTGCAAAGCATACCAGCTTGTGTTGTAGAAGAAAATTGGAAGAAATAAGACAAAAATGGTAGTACAATTTTTGATTCTTTTTCCATTGTCAAAATATATTATGTCATAAAATATCACCTACTGTAACATTCTACTTCGTATTATTGAGTATAAACTTCTTTCTGATCAAATTAAAAGTATAAATTCAAGATTATGTAGTAAAGAAGAAAAAATACAGTTTGATGAAACACGAACGTTGAATACAAAGTTGTGCGCGACAGTTATAATAATTCAAGAGGATGCAAACTAAAAGTGCCAAGAGAAAGCGAAAGTTTTTCAGTACCACTTTTTCATCGTAGATAAATCAAGATAGGAAAAAGAAACTCGAGTTGATTTTGTCTTAATAATATCTCAAAGAGAGAGAGAGAGAGAGAGAGAGAGAGAGAATATCAAAACAAAAAAGCTTTAATAATAATTTTTGGCCTCGTATTAACGATTATAATAAACCTTTCTTGGGCAAGAGAAAGTACAAATAAAAAGAAACTGGAATAATGTTTTAAACAAATTTTATACATTTATTTTTGTTACTAAATTCTACTTTCGGCAATATTGTTTCATATTCATATTAATTACGAAATTAATATATTATTTATCTTGAATACATTGCTATTAGCACTGACATATATGACAATGATGCCTTTATTACCTAAAATATTATTGTTTATGATCATAATAACATATATACGTAATATTTAAAAATTAAATAATACAATAATATAAGAAAATTTATAATTAAGTAGCATATAAAGTTATAAAATTATGTATAATATAATGGGATGTAAACATCATTATGCCAATATTTACAGTTCAAATTATTATTTAACACGAAGAAATAAGAATAGTTAATTTTCTTTAAACAAATATATGTTATTTTTACATAAGAGAGCAAATTTTTGCTTTAATGTTAATCAAAATCTTCAAAAAAACATATTATAATAAGATATGTTAGAAATATTCAAGTTTCACAGATCGACAAACGCTAAAAGAAATATTATAAGTAAAATCTTACACTGGTAAATCGTTCTAAAGAAAGGTCGATGATTTTTCCACTCGTAATTGTCAATCTTTTTTGCGATCTCAGAATAAGAAACAACACAGTTCGACTTTCTTTGGCTGGAAAATCATACCAGAGAGAATCATACGCCGCACTTCCAATCATTTTGCTCTGAAAAGATAAAATAAGAGATACATTTGATATGCCAGTGAATTAATGAAACTATCATTTTTCTCTTGATGTTGACCTTGGCACTTAGATGTTCACCGCAGAAGCAGTATATAAATGCCTCGACGTTCATTGAGATGTAGAATAATACAGATTTTACCAAAATCGCTGCAGCATTGGGTGTGTCAAGCGACTAAAATTTCCGTACACAAATATAATAATAATTTAGTATGAGTTAGTTGCACATGTATATGATAATTTATTTATACGTCTTAAATATTAATAATTATTACCACTTTTTTTCGACTAGATATGTAATATTCGCAACAATAGGTAACCAAATGTCATTTTAGACATATTACTTACGGTGGCTATAATAAATCCTAAACAACATATGATGATTGTGTCTGATAAGAGCATCATCATTGCGATGTACGTATAAAGCGTCTCGATATTGTCTGCAAATACTATAATGCGCTGGTGCTTTATAATCAATGATTTCATTGTAATTTCATCCACTGAATCCGTCGAATTTTTGGAAAAAACTTTTGTCAACCATTCTCGGAGAATGTCTATTTGACCGCAGATATGAAGTATCTAAGATTTATAGTTTTATAATCTCTTTCTTACGAACATGAAAAATTATTTTTTTTTATTAAACAAATTTTTAATTTAAAAAATTATTTCTTAAAGACATATCACAAAGAAAAATCTAATTTAACAAATTATTTTATATACTTGTAAAATGTTATTGTATTAAAATAAAATGTTTGTATATTTATAATAATTACGATCTTATCTAACATGAAATGTCGAATTAAAAAAATCAAAAGTGTGTAATTTACCTTGTATTTAATTTTGAGTAGGCGCATCATAATTCGAACTTACCAAAGTGACGAGAAGTGAGTTAATAATCGTAATACCGCAGGCGACTAAAAATAGGTGATAAAATTGAACCGTTTGAACAGTTGTATAAATAAAATCTGTACTAATGTTGAATGGGAACTCCATTTTTAGAATAAGTTCTCGCGCATACGGCTCTAATTTCTCGGGACTGTTTGCATTAGCGGCGAGTACGCCGACACTGTAGAAAGTTGCAGAGCCGATTTGCATGCCAACAATCCATCTCGAGCTGCGACGTGCAACATTCGCCATATCCGTCATTATACGTGAGTTATAGCAATTCGAAGTATGAACTTGCCAATCCTCAGACATCATTTGCAATACATCAAAAAATATTCTACGGAAGGTGCACCCTTCGCGTTAATATCTGTTTCATAGTTGTTACAAAATTGAATTAATTTCAAAAAAATTTTATTAAAATATTAGAAAAAACAATTATTTTATTAATATAATATATACTTATGCGTATATTCGCAAATCTTAAACAAATAAGTTAAATAAAATGAGAAATGAATTGATTATTATTCGATACAAAAAGGTTACGCAATTTGCGGGCTATATTTCTATATCTTGATAAATTATTATGCTACGTTTTGTGAACATTAGCATTTAATGATGTATCAAGACACGAAGATGATCAACTGTCAGCGATAACATAGCTTTTTTCAAGAAAATACGAAAGCCTCAAACGCACTGTTATTATAATATTTTTGATGAATAATTTCGGCAAATGTTAATCATCATCAATAATGAAACAGGATTTACGTATGTTATTTTGCAAGTACGTCCTACCGTTGATTAGTCCAAAGAATAATAAGTTTAATGTATAATAGAGAAGATGTCATTGCACTGCTCACTCCGTCCATGTACTCGGAGAAATCGTCCATATGAATGTTCATTACTACGTATCCGTATTGAAAAACTTGGGCCGTGCTTAGCATTATGATCCAGTACAATCTGAACACTATAGTAGACGGTACATAGGGCCATACACCGTAAATGTGAAGACCAAATTTAATCAATCGACTAATCGTAGTCATCCTCATATTTCTCTTTGACGACGCAGAACAAATCAATTGCGATACGTCGTCGAGTAACTTTATTCATACTAAATCTTGTTCACGGGTTGACAACCGAAGGTAACCCATGATTCATGTCATCGATCATTGACCAATCATAACTTATTAAATATTTCTGTTACATTATACAAAAAAAAAGAAGAAACAAACTGAAATTGTTATTTAATGAATATGTGAACGATATAGGCAGGATTCCCTTCTTCCAAACTTTCGATCATGATACAGCTATACACTCTTTTTAAAAATGTAATAGGCAAAGGAAAGGTGGAGCGCAGCTTCCAAGAACTGCTCGCCATGAGGTCGAAAGTTTCACTGTTGGGTATAAACAGAGAAGGACGTAAATATATCTCCGAGGGTATATTTTTCCGGAACGAGCTTTGCGCGAAACTTATAGCTCGTGTTGCAAATAGTCACAAATTGGAAGAAGCACGATGAAGTCGGCAGTACATGCCAGAATGTCTGGCAAAGAACTACGAAGTTTATCGGTTTTGAGTGATCCTGTTTTTACAGACAAAATGTACATATTATAAAATGTTATCTATTGTAATACCTCTCTCTTTTTCTATTTTACGTTACTAAATTTAAACTTCTTTTTGATAAAATGGATATATAAATTTAAGATTACGTAGTAAAGAAAAAAAATTATGTAATAAAAAGAAAAAACCGTTTTGATAAAACGCCAACATCAGATGCGAAATTGTGCACAACAGCTCTCTATGAAAAGTAATTCAAGATTTAAAGATGCAAACTGAAAGTGCCAAGAAAAAGAGAAATTGCAAAAGATTTTCAGTATCGTCTTTTCATCGTAAACAAACAAAAAGCATTAAAAAAAAGAACTCTGGTTGATTTTATCTTAATAGTGGTATTATGAAGGTATTCGTCAAAACAAGAAAAATACTTTATCGTAATTTACTATTATATTATCTTTTTCTTGTGCGACAGAAAGTGCAAATTGTGCGACGAAAATGGAATAATAATAATATTTAGAACAAATCTTATACATTTATTTTTATATTATTAAATTCTACTTTCTGCGCACTATTGTGTTTCATATTATTATTATATATATATATATATATATATATATATATATATATATATTTATAAAT